CGAAGTACAGTGTAGGCTGGGATGTGAGTCAGAGTATCAATGGGACACAGATGTTAAACTCAACAGTATACAGGCTAAAAATTATTTCCATCGATTTTAATGAAGCTCCACTGGGGATGAATTTAAACCATTACAAAGAAGCGTTGATCTGGCATTTTACAGCTAGGATCATGTTTCTTATGTTGAATGCCAATGTTCAGTTCTCAAATGTCAGAGTTGTTTAATTACTTAATTTCACCTTTTAATTTTTGAAAGTATTTAAAGTGTTACCAAGGGGTGTTCAAGTGGAAAGGACAATCCAGGTTTGCGTTCATTCTGTTTTCTCGTGTTTAAGTAATGCCCATGTACCCTAGTCATACCTTACTGTACATCAAGTATACATACATGGAGTAAACATTGCACATTTCATACATCATACATCACAAGAGGATGATGGGCTTCTAGTTGTATGTAAGAGGCGCTTACAGGCTGTATCTAATGGACAGGAGGAGCCTGGGAAGTCTGGAGACACCCTTGGTCAAAGTGATAGGTGGTGTTATTACTGGCTCTGACACTGTCTGCAAACACGACTGTGGGAGGCATCATTTTATTTTCTATTATGAGCTCTTTTCTGACCTTTGCAGGCAGTTGAGCAAAACACGAATGTTCACACCAACCACTCTTTATTTCAACAGCACTGAAGGAAAAATAACAAGAAACATTAATGATCGTGTTTTAGCTCAAATGCAGGATAGATTCATTGAGACAGGTGCAGGAAAACTGTAGCTACCTTCTCTTCTTTTTAATGTCAGTCAGGATGGGATGTGCTCACTGTCATATGAGATGTGCCTTCTGTCCACTCATGGCGGTGGAAGCTCTGAATGTAAGCAGTGATAAATGGTACTTTTAGTCAATGGATGGTTTAGAATAAGTTAGAATACTTTAAAATTAAAAATATGCATACTTTGATTTTGCCCTTGAATTTTCAGGAGTTCTGGTGTAGATCTATTTACTGTAGCTCCGAGGTGGCAGCCAATAAGAGGTTCAGGCAGCAGACAGTTTTCAGGTCTGCACAGCTTAGTAGTTGGGCATTAGGAGCAATTTGGTTTTAAGGTGAGTTAAACACAGAAGTTAAGTCACACTGATCCAATCAAACTTAAGGATTCAGGATCATCTTTAGATACAATAAGTGCTGAGACAGGAATAAAAATGCCAAGATCAGGCATTTTTAAGATCACACAGCTGGCTACTCCTTTTAGAAGGCTTTTGGTCATTTTGTGCCGGTCACGCACACTAGTCAGCTGTTAGATCTCTGCTCTTCTCTTTCCAGACTCTTCTCTTTTCAGTGTCTGCTTGCTGGTAGCAGCATATATCCACTTTGCATTCCTCCTATTTGGAAATCTATGTTTAGCGAAAGTAGAAAGTGTAAAAAAAAGTATCCTTCAGACTCAGGACTTGAATATTCTTTAAGCATGTTAGACCTGGGTTCTGGAATGTGTAGCTTTGATCATTTATTAGAATAGTTTTAGAAGCACTCAAAAATAATGTGAAAAACATTTATGTGATCTAGGAAGGGAACTGTGCTGACTAGTCTTGAAGATAACAGGCTGTTCCTCTCTTACAGAGGCATATGATTGTGTTGCATTTCGGTGGAGCCGATCTCCTTCAGTAAGGCAGAATATCAAGAACCTTAAGTCCACAATGAAGGAATACAATTTTAGTCAACAAGTTACGCAGAATTTTAGAGATGATAAATATTTTTAATAGGCTGATGTGCATGAAAAGAACAAAACAGCAATGACCAATGCAGTCTCCAACCCTAATATGTTTTGTGATTGAATCTTCAGTGCTTGGTTTTTACTAGAAGCAATTTTGTATTTTGCTTACTAAAAATATCTGAGGGATTTGATGTGATCTGTGTAGCAGAACAGTATATAAATTTCCTAAAGCCCTGGGGATGGTGTTCTGCTGATGCTGCTGTTAGACAATATGCATGAAGGCGCATCTGCCATAGCTTTTTCCCTGGTGAATGGCTCTAGTGCTGCAGGGATGGAGTAATAGCATTTCCTAACATGGTGCTACCATAAAAAAGGAGACTATTGGGGATGGGAGGGACAGGGACACATCTGTAAGGTGTACAGTCGCACAGCTCTCCTGCAGTGAGCTTGGTACCAGAGCCATTGCTTCAGGCAGGTGTGAGCATCTCTTCCGTGCCCTTGGGTTTATCTTGGTGCACTGCAGCAGAAGAGTCCGTGCAGCGCTCCTGTGTTTGGTTACCCCTGAATGTACTGTTCCTGAGATGTTACTGAGACTTTGGCCTTGTGCTTGGGACTGATGGATGTCCTGCAGCCAGAGCAGAATTAGGTACACCCAGAAAGGACACCTGGATATGACCTCAAGCAATGTATGGTGCAGGAGTGACTCGTTTCCCTTTTGTCTGTTTTAATTATGAGGCCTCTTTGTGCTCAAGTGGCTTGCCTTGTGCCTGGAGTGTTAGACGCCATTTCCTCCCGCAGTCTCTCTGTAACTTCTTATCCTGTTTAATTTCTGTCCATTTCTGTCCTTCATTTCTATATAGAAATTTTATTATTGAACGGGGAGGATTTTAAAGCATCGGTTGCCCTGTCCTTCCTGCCTTCTGTGAGGAAGCCCACTCACCTGCAGAGAAGCACCCACTCTCTGCCTGGTGCTTTCCACGAGGACAGACAAATTGTTCCTTTTCTCACCACTGCACTTGATTAAATTCTTCACTTAAAATCCCTGGGCTCTCACTCCAGCTCTAGGTGGCCGGTGGGATGGGCTGCCAGGCCAGCTGCTGCTGGCAGGACTCCCAGAAGGACGTCCTGGGCAAGGAGGGGTGGATTTCAGTGCGGATGCTGAACTTTTGTGTACCCCGTTTCTCTGTAATTAGATTAATTAGGGTCTCTGCCTCCCTCTTCCCTCTGAAGGTAAAAAGTAATATTTGCACCCGCCTCCAGTGTGTTTTGGGAAAAACAGAAGAAAATAAAGCTATTACATTGGCATGGGGACCTACAGATCATTTTACTTGAGCAGTCCTGGGTTTGCTGTAAGATTTCTTCAGCTGTAGTAGAGTAGTAATTATTACAGTTAATTACATTTAAACAGGCCATACTGGTATTAAACGGGTGTTAGAAATTAAACGAGCACACTGCACTGTGGGAATGGAAATGTGTGGCAACCTTCCCTGGATGATAAATTTCTGACACAGCTCAGGTCAAGAGGATTCAGCCAAGACCTATTGAGATTTTGGGAACATGTGACTTAGTCCTATAGGTGGCATTGAACTTGACTCATGATGGAGCCAAGCTTGCCTCCCCAGATTTAATTGTTTTTATTAGTTGTACACAGATTGATCGTTTTACCCTGATGCAGTACCTGCAGAATGCTTACAGTGTTGGTAGTTTTGGAGAGCAGCGTATGGGATTTTTTGCAGGTAATAAAATGGGAAATCCAATTTACAGTTGCAAAGCAAACCCTGAGTGATACATGATCTTCACAGCAGCCCTGGTCAGAGGGTTACGGCTAATCGCCACGCTGGCCGGCTTCCCCGGCAGCTTCAGCCTGAGAGCTGGACAGTGAGCAGCACCAGCCTGCGCCTTCAGCCAGCACAGATTTAGATACACTGCTTTCTAGCTTATTAGGTCCTCTTTGTCACAGTACTTAATCCTTTTTCCTGATCCTTGTTAGAACAGTACTGCCACGTCCTTTAATAAAGGAGACGGGCGCGAGGCTCCTAACGAGGCGCACTGGAGCGTGCGGAGCGCGGCGGCCGCGCTGACTGACGGGCTGTGAGCTCAAACCAACCTGCCACAGACAGCTGGCAGATGAGCTTGTTAAGGTAATGGTGACTCGGTGATAGGCCAGTATGAGATGCTTGGCATCTTTTCACACAGTATAATAGCCTGTCTTTAATTGTTGTTAACCCCTTTTACAGAGAGAAACGCACCAAGGATTAGCTGTCATGTAGAACGTGCAGCCGGCGTGGGCAGCAAGCACAGGGCTCACAGCAGCTCCCGTTGCCTGCACTTAAACAGGCTTTTCATTTTGGAAATTTGGCGCATCAGGTTGATTTTGGATTTCTCCAACAGCTTGGCTCAGTCAGTCTTCAAAACCCTGTAATTTGTTTTGTTTTGTTCCCCATGGTTAAAGAATATTTTTTTTTAGTTATTTTAGATTTCTAGGAGGAGGGTAGGCCTCTTTTCATCATAAAATTCACAAAAATAAATTGAAAATGTACCATAGATTTCTTATTTTAATTTAAAGAACACAAAGTATTTCAATGGCTAGACTGTCCTGGAATTCAGCACTTTGTATCTATAGTCATGAGGAGTTTCAGTGGAGACTGTTTTGGAGTTGAGTGGTAAACATTTAAAAAACAAACAAACAAAAAACCCCAAGCAACCCCCTAATAGGTCTCTTAAGTCTTCCTGTCAACAGAATAGGTAAAACTGGCATGCTACAAGAATGATGCTGTTCGTTTGTGTTTCTGAGTGTATGTCACTCTAATCACAGATTAGGGTAGGATCTCAGTTCAGACAACAGGCTGGCACTGAGAGGACAAAAAGCCTGTTGGGCATTGCTTGTTGGTGTTTTGCTTGGAGGAGGAATTGAGAAATGTTCTGCAATGCCAAGCAGAGCATACTCCTACCGAAGCATCATTCTCCTTTTGTTCCTGCAGATCATGGTGGAGAGGGCCCACACCCATGTGCTGTCAGGTCCTGCTTAAAACTGACTTGATGAATAAATATAATATGCAGCAGGTGGAGTTCAACCCTGCTGTGCAGTGTGTAGCAGCACTGAAATAATAGAGTGGAACTGCATTCGTCATGGTGGGAACTACTGTGTCCTCCTGTTCCTCTGTGTTAAGGCTGAAATGCTTGCTTTTATTATGGCCATGCTCTCTGAAACAAATGAAAAGGTTTTATATGCACAGAGGGTATTTCTTTCAAATTTTTAATGTTTCAAGTGTTTTTCATATGCTGTTTTGTTTAATCCCTCAGGTAATTTGGATTTGACTGGTCAAAAGCAAGTCTTCAAAGCAGAGAACAATCCTTGGGTTACCCCTATTGCTGACCAGTTCCAGCTTGGAGTATCTCATGTTTTTGAATACATTCGTTCAGAAACATATAAATAGTAAGTATTACATTATATACTGTAGCTGTGGTGTTTGGTTTTTTCCCTGTAGTGTGCTTGGCTACACACTTCTTTCATAATCCATGCAGCGACTTGGTATTCAGGGCAAATATGCAAGCCTGTACATTTATATTAAGGAATTTTGCCAAGAAAAGGGTAAATAAGATTCATGTAGACATGTTAAGAAAGCTCAAAAACTGTTTGGTACTGTCCCGCATGTGTTGTTTACTTCTGTGTAACATGAGAGGTGTAAAAGAATGAGCATTACAAGTCTTTTGAGAAGTATTAATTTTAAGTATGTACAGTAAGGTTTTATAGATTGAAATAGATAATTGTTGAGTTTTTGGATGCCTATTGTTATGTTTTGAGAGATGTCCAGAATTCAAACCTGTTTTGATCTGGACTAGTTTACAGAAGTCTACAACCCTAGTAAGTCAAATATAGGTACTAGTGCTTTCTTCAACAGTGTAAATGTTGAACAGTGTAAAATAAGCTGTGTGCTGGGGCTTCTCCATTTTAATGCAAAATTCCATGTACAGATGCTAAGCATTTGTTTATGAAATAATGTCTTCCATCATCCACTGAATTGAAATATTTATTTTAAGTAAAAATCTTCATTTTACCAGTCCACAGTAAAACTTCAGATGGATTTTTAGGGGACTTAACAGCAATCCTGCTGTTGTCGTCTTAGCAGCAGTAGGTAATACATCAACAATACTACCTCTGGATTGGAAAGATAGTTTTTGCATTTCCCCTTTATTTAAACAATATCTTTTAACAATTTAGAAGCATTTCTGACAATCTTTTATATGGTATCTGTCTGAACAAAATTACCAGAGAAGAGCATTCACGAGTGACGGTTGGGAGATTCCAGTTAAGTAACTGAGATGTAAATTTCTATATGAAACTCAGTGATTCAGCAATGGCTTTGGTAGGCCGTTCTTCAGTTACAGAACTTAAGTGAAAAGAATCACAGATGGGAGAGTGGTTGCAAAAATTGTGTCTCAGAAGTGTCCTGATATTTATGGTGTAATACATGTTCTCAAGACAGATTTATTCATAGATTTAAGTAGGCTGCAACACCCTTCTTACAGTAGTACTCTGTAGTACAGACACAGTGTAGGGAAACAGCTGCCTATCTCCTTGGACCATTCCTTCCCACAGTCTATTGTGTAGCTGCATCCAGGTTTCTTGATAATGTTTCGTAATTTCGTTTTATATTGCCAATCTTATATTTCTGTTTGCTGAGCAATGTAGATTAGGGACCCTCATGCCCTTCTCAGAGGGACCACTCTGGGCATCATGAAGACAGCAAAGTTTCAGGGATTGAAGTGCGGTTTTGAGAATTTGACCTACATTTAGTTTGGTTGGGGGGTGTGGGGACTGTTGTTATGTATCTATAATAAAAAAAAATAAATAAAAATTTATAACTGTGGGTATATTAAACTGCTCTGGCAACTTTCCTTGTGCAATCAAAATTGACAAAAAGGTTCTGTAATTCATCAGTTACCTCAGTTGTTGTTCTTTGTTCTAAATTAGCCATATTATGTTTGTTGTCTTGTTCTTTGCTGAGGCATAACAGTGTCTTTTTGGTTAATAGGCCAGTTTTTATTTTATCCACAGTAAATGTTTGAAGCATGTATAGTTAACAGTGTAAGCAAAATCAGACTCTGACCATTAATAAGGAGAAAAATCAAAATCAGATGATCTTTCTGTGGCTCATTCATGACTTCAGCTTTGATCTTAGAAGTTTATTACGTTAAAATGTCATAATTTTCAAAATTTAGTGAGGAAAACCAAATGCAGGAACATGTTAATAATTAGATGTCAATTTTGTATTTTCAGCATTTTATATTTAAATAATAAAAATATTCGTATAATTTTGCTAGAATCCCACTAGTAACTTCCTTTGATTCCTGATTTTACTTGTTTCATCTCCTATAAAGAGAGTTTGTGGATTTTCTTGCTGAAAAATATTGTCCTTATTTCCAGTTTCCTCTAAATATATGATCTGAGAATTACTAGGATGCCACCTCCTACAGACATTTTTTCTGTTTGCATTTGGTTTTAGGTGTTAAAACTCAAAGGCAATGGCATGGTCTAGGTAACAGGTCTTAGTAGCATTATTGTACACAAAAACAGGTAAGCTGTACATGCAGAAGAAATCAAAACTGCTTTTTGTGATGAAATGCTGGTCTTTTCCTGCTAACAGCTATACACTTTCTTCAACTGCCTTTTTCTTTCAGAGCTATGTCCAAGCAGTGTGTCTTATTTCTCATTAAGCAAATCACAAGGTTGAGATGTGAATGTAGTATTTTCCCCTGCAGGTATATAACTAAGGAAAATTAAGCTCTTGGGTTTTTGGTAGGTTTTTTTATATCATTCTGCCAAAAGAAAAAAATATCTTGCAACATTTAATAGATCCAGACAGCTTAACTTTTACTGTGAGGCAAAACAGTACAGTTAAATGGGTGATTGGATAGAATGCTGTTTAGATAACCTCACTTAAAACACTGAGAGGATAGAACATATATTAGCAGATGACCATCAGATCAGTAAGTTTACTTGCAGGTACAAGATGTTGTGGACTTCCATAACCAGACCTATGCATCTGTATGGCAGATGAATTTTGAGCTCCAGAGGGTGTATTTGTCTCCCTATGCCCATTTCTTTTGCTAGCTGATAGGAAATATTGATTTTACTTCATTTACATATTTAACATTGTCTGTACTAGCCAAGACAATGAGGGCATGCTCATGGAGTCAAAAGTGCCAAGTTTCAGAGGCTTATCAAGTTACATTTCACTATGTGATTTATGCTAATACTTCTTATTTGATGTTTGCAATGACTAGTACTTCATAGTTACTCAGTTGCTGTTAACTTAGCCAGGAAGTGGTAACTCACTGAGTCTTGGCAATGCACTCACTAAACCTTGAGGTTTCTACTGATGGCTGGCACAAGTCATCACAGCAGTTAGTGTCAGGGATCTCCATTCAGGTTTTGTGAGGTTGCACTTACGAAGCAACTGCAAAATAGATCACAAACCTCTTCTTTCCTTTGTGAAATGTACTGGCTGTTTCAAGCATATTTAGTGAAAAATTACCCCTCATTTTTAGCCTTGTCTTAAGATATTCATGCTCTAGTGATTAATTGATAAGTAGGCATGACACCCATGAGGGATGACTATGTCTAAAGATAAAATGTCATTTGTCTCGCATACTTTTACATTTTCACACTCCCATTTTACATGGTGCTCACGCACCAAGTATAAAACTGGAATTGCACTTTGTTTCAGAAGCACGTTAACCAGTAGGACCCTCAGATCAGCTCTTCTTACTTTGTATCTTTTTTCATTTCCTTTAATTTCCTTACTTTTCAAGAGAAACGGTGGCTGGTGATTTTTTTCTCAACCCTAATTTTTCAGGAAAGACTTGTGCTGATAGAAAGATGGGCCATATATTGTAGTGGAAAATGTGTGTGGAGGGGCTCTTAATTCTTAACAGGAAATTCAGCAGCTCTTGGCACTTTGCTAGCTTTTGTTGGCTAAAATACGCCCACTGCACATATCATCCTGTGACAGCATCATTTGGAAATAGGTCAGTTTGCCAAGTATATAATGATTCTTAATCTCTCACTGCTGTGTAACTTTCTGAAACTTTAGTAAACTCACTTTTGGCTTTGATTCTGTATATACTCAGGAGCTGCCTTTAAACTCTCTGTGTGATGTCACAATAGTGTTGAAAAGCAGTTGAAGAACTTGCTTAAACAATAAAGGGTAATGGCAACCTTATCTCCACAAAGGGCTTAACTAAATGTTTTATTTTTTATTCATGCCTTTAGTCAACTTTCAGAGTGACCTTTATGTTGTAAGCATATTCTCAGAGGATCTTCTCGGTGTAGGATACTGACAAAGAGATGATGGATTGTGTGATTTAGTGGTTACAATGTACTTAGATAAGTGCAGACAGACATAAATGTTTGAAAGAAAACAGTGAATTAAGCTCCTATGAAGAATGAAAATCCTGTGATGCTCCTTAGGATCTGTGTAAGATAATTAGTGATTTGATTAAGCTGAGGTAAAGCCAAGATGTGCAATTGGTCCCAGTGGGTGGGTTTGGTTGCTGGCATTTACAGCAGAGTTAATCTAGAAAGCTGCTCTTTGGATGCATTTCTGGAATTATTCATGTGCTCTTAATCAGTCTTCATGTGAAACTTGCTTCTTTGCATGTTTATATCTGCTACAGAAAGGATAGTGATTTTTGCTTTTATCACGGCAGAGTCTATTGCAGTCATCGTCTGCTGGTCGTGTAATCAAAGCTAAAACAAAAGAGTCCCAAGTGCTTAGATTAGCATTCAGACTTCAAGCATGTTTGAACTGTTCTTAAACCCAGCAATGGCCTTTTAACACTTTATATTTAATAATTGTTGTTTCCCTGTTTGACCTCCTTACTCCAGTGAGGCAGAATTATGATGGAACAGTCAGCATTTTTAAGTTTCTAGAAAGCAGGTTTTCCCCACGAGGCAGTCAGTTTGGAGTCAAGAGTCTCAACAAAATGCTTTGTGAAAGGAAGTAAGTTGCGCTTTTCAGATTTCCATCAGGAAAGGTGGTAGAAGAGCAAGCCGTTTTCAAGACTGACACATTAACTCTTAGCAGAGGAAATGGTTTGACAAATGCAGTGCTGAGCATATATCGCTTGGCAGCATTGGAACATAGGTTTCCCTGGGCAGGCTGCTCTGTGCTAAGCATTGCAATTGAAAACCTCATTTTATCAGCAGTGACAGTCTGGAAAAATCCATTCTTGATTCAGCCCTCTATTTAGAGACAATCTCCCCACCTTCTTGAAAATGCTGTACTGGACCCCCACTATTAGGAAGCAGCTGCTTCCAGGGCAACAGACACAGGTCATGAAGTAAGATATTCTTCTTCTGGACTATATTAATGAAAAGTATTTTATCATTTATTTCTAACAACTAAAGGAGACTGGCAAGATTCTCAGAGT